ATTAGCCGGCGGATTTTGCTATGTTAAATTCCGTCCCAAGCTGATTTGGGCTGAATAAGCGGCTGGGCCTATTAACCGTGGACTTAATAACCGGCGACTACTGTATAATATTATGATTTGGGATTAGTATTCGGTTTTGGGTAGAGGCTAAGTAATTCGCGTTGTTGTTACGATTGATCCTTCTTCGAACCCTGCCCCCATTCCCAATCCTTACCTGATAAGAGTTTAACTGTAAACTAGAGATATGATTTTTCCACTGCTTCGTACATTTCCTTCTAAATCAATTTTCATCGTAAGTGACCATGGCGGAAGTTGACCACTCCCAAAGACCCAGCTTATGGTATCTTAAACATCTACATTTGACTGGAAAAGAAAAAAACATCCGCATTCGCATCACTGCAAATAACGTCACTGCGCTCGTCTGTCAAACTCTAGGACGCTAAGTTCCTCCGGCTTTCCACTTTCAGGTTACTTGCCTCGTTAGTTCACCTTACCTGTAAACGTTTGTCGGCAGCGGAATTATTCCATTGGACGATATCTGTCGGCCAATCGGCGCTAACGTACCCACGTCTCACCTCAACGTTTTAGCTCATTAAAATATTGATCCAAGGTAGTTCACATAATCTGTTACCATCGTTCCTCCATCATGATAAGGGATCGAAAAACACCAAACAAATAGATTTACCTTCGCTGCCGTATAGAATGCAAAATGTGCAGAAGCTCTTAGTCCAGCTAATATGAAAGCTATTGAAGTTTCTTCTTTTATTTAAGCTTCAGATAAGGCATCGTGGTTGCAACTCTCAGGAGAATGAAACTCTAAGGTTCATCCAAAAAAGATAAGAACACCTTTGGGAGGGAAGTATTCTGCGTTTTTAATCGTCTTACTACTTCTCACTCTCACTCTGTCCTTCTCTTGTTTCCAAGGATTCCAAAAACTCCGGATTTCGGTGTAACCAGTTCGCGGGTCGTGCCCGAATTACCAAATGCGGCACGCACTCTGGGCAATTCATTTGGCAGCACCTACAGTTGCAGCCCAAAAGCGCGGTCGGCTCGCCTTAATACACCAATGAGTACTCTGGTTCCCAGTTACTCCCGTCTGCAAAACGATGTCCTCCTGGGTGGATCCCTACCAGATACCGCAGCTACTGTCAATTCGGCGATGGTTTCTTCACCAACAACCTTCTCCGTTGGGACCAAATTCGCAACACCGAATCTCGTACCAGCCCGAGAGTTAACAGAGCCGGACTATAACACCGGCTCCATTGGTTTGGCAATAAAACTGGAGCCGGACGTCCACGACCAGTTACAGAGTTACTCGGGTCGAAGTGGTTTTATGATAAAGCCTACAAAGTCCATTTCTAGTGGTGAAAAGGAGACCTTCTGTAAGTCACTCTTCAATATCTTACCCCGTCAAATGGCCTCTTGATGCACACATTAAATGAGCTTGCTTGAAAGAAACCTCTTCTACTTCTATGAGTTTAGCCAAGAAGCCTACGGGGATTAAGAGCAATTCTGTTATTTGGAGACCGTGGGAGATTTCACAGCCAACTCCCCGAGGAGGACCGTCCTCCTCAACGTCCAACCCCGCTGCGTCTTCCTCCTCCGCTGCCGCTGCCGCTGCCTGTGGATCCCGACTTGGACAGAAAACGATCCCGGGCGTCACAC